ACCCACACCCACACCCACACCCACACCCACACGCACACCCACCCCCACACCCACCCCCACACCCACACCCACACCCACACCCACACCCACACCCACACCCACACCCACACCCACACCCACACCCACACCCCCCACACGCACACCCACACCCAAAACTAAGTTCAAATGCGTGAAACGATTGCTGAGTAGACCCACTATTGCCATAACTGCAGTGGTGATTCTATAAATCCAAATAGTAATGGTTGAATGAGGTTGAATGGTATCTAACATTAACAATGATTCAACGGGAAACTCAAACGATCCAGACAGAGTTCACACAATGAACCATACACACATGCTGGGCAGCGATAAGAAACACACTTTATCCTGCTCATCTAAGTGAAATTTCGAATAATTATGACCAAAATACATTAGATAGACTTGTATCTGGTCAATGTCATGCACTTTTACTAATACAATAGGAGAAGTTGAAAATTGTCAGAAAATAAATGTTCAATATGGCGTAGTATTAGATGTTGACATTTGATGTGAAATTGTATCTTCGTCGACTCATAATCAATCAACTAAACAATACGTATCGATGACGATTGAACAGTTTCATTTTTAAAACCCAATGATAACCATGCCTTGGTGTATTCACATTGTTTTCCAAAATAACTTTCTGAACATGAAAACGAAACTTGGTCTGATAAAAATCATTTGTATACGGGATACAAGTGTCTTCATTTTGGCTGAAGTTCACTTGACAAGGTTGGCTTTTCAGATGACAAGTAGGTCTATAGTGTTCGGACGGACAAATACAAGCAAGATACTCACTATTGAATCGTAACCAATGGCTACCAGATGCACAGGGATTAGGAAAGTTCAACTGATCTTCATCGAAATTTCCACGCATTTGTCTATTCTCTTCGTTTCGCAAAACAACAGCCAGACGTAATGCAGGGAGAAAGGAGAGTTTTACAGAATATTCCTTGAAAAACAAGAGTGCTACGAAACTACTTAGGTCATACCAAAAGTAGTGAGCCCTCCCATCTTAATTTTGTATAAACTGCTTGGAAAAAATGTCTTTTCTTATCAACAGATAGAGCATCTTTTGCTCTATCTTTCTATGCTATTTGATCACTATTCAATCAATATCATAATAATAAAATTATCATAAAACTGTTTGTTTGTGCCACTCCATCTAGTACTAATAGTGCATATTATTATCCATGTATGTTTTCTTTATTTTTCTCCTCTTCTTTCTTTCATCTTCTTTTTCTTATGTGTTCTAAAAACCTACCCGTCCATATATTTTACAATGCACAAACAATAATGGTGATGAAACACAAAAGAAATACAGAAACAAGTTCAACAATTTTTATTTTGTCAATCGTTCAAAATAATCACCTTGGTTATCTATACACAGCTGCATTCTTTGAATCCATTTCTCGAAAGTTTTTTGCATTCTTCTCTGTTTAAAGAATACATGAAATCGCATACAACATCATATAATAATTCTGAATCACTGTGATCAGTTAGATCTTTTTAAATTAAATCGAACAACCAAAAGTCACATGGTGATAAATCTGGAGAATTAGGTGGATGTGGTATTATTGTGAGGACTTCAGATTCAAGATAATGGGACACGTCTTTATAATATGTGGTCTTCCGTTATCGTGATGAATTTTAATACGACCAGTGCCATGTGAGGGTCTTTGACGTTTGGTTTCATCGAGAAGTGGTCGTAAACAATGATTGATGTAATAGTGGTGATCAATCGCTTGTCTCCCTACCACAAGATGAACCAAAACAGAAGCATCTGACTTAAAAAAGCTAGAAAATAGGGTTCTCGGAGCAAACTTATCGCGTCGAGCTACAGTAGGTGGAGGATCTCCTCTTCGTACCCACGGTGCGTTTTATGACTTTCGACCAATTTGTGTATGATAAAACTATAGCTCGTCACCAGTTATTATTTTACATAAACGCCAGGTTCCTTCTTGGAATTTCGTTAAATTTTGTTTGCATTTTTGAACTCATTCAGCCTGTTGAAAATCAGTTGGATCCTTGGGTATATAATGAGCGGTAGCCTTCTTAAGGTTTTAATGATCGGTGATGATTCACTGAACGGTGCCATGACTTAAATCAGTTTGCTCTTGCACTTCTTCTATTGTAATGTGAGGGTCATCATCAATAAGAAGGCGGACCTGCTCAATATTTTCAAATGTTGTTTCGGTAACAGGTCTGCTAGGTCGTGCTTCATCTTCATTTTGTTCTCCGCCTTAACGAAACCATTTAGCCCACCTTTTAACTGTTGCATAAGAAAGAGCTTGATCGCCACAGACAGAATATAGTTCATCATAAATGGCTCCTTCTGAGATAATAATTGTCGTGCGTACTTTAATATAAAAGCAAAAGTTTTCTTTATTCATCTACAGCAAATGAATAGCGATAAAGACTAACACTCCTTAAGTGCTAAAGGCTTAAGGTGCGCAAGACTGAACTATTCGTCTGAAGTAGCACGTACATATACCAGAGCTCAGACACTGAAGAACATTCAAGAAGATCATGAGTCAGATCAAAGGAAATAGGTGAAAGAAGTCCATCGATAGAAGCACTAGTATAGGATAACAAAGAGAAAATGCACTTGAATAACCTGAACATTACGAAAAGAAGAGAGAAATATAGCGTGTTTTCTAGAAAGAAGAGGAGAAAAATAAAGAAAAACGAAAAGAAAACATCCATGAATGATAATATGCATTATTAGTACTAGCTGGAGTGGTACAAACAAACAGTTTTATGATAATTTTATTATTATGATATTGATTGAATAGTGACCAAATAGCATAGAACGATAGAGCAAAAGATGCTCTATCTGTTGATAAGAAAAGAAGTTTTTTTCCAAGCAGTTTATACAAAATTAAGATGGGAGGGCTCACTACTTTTGGTATAACCTAAGTATTTGTTGCAGAATTACTGCGCAAATGATAGACCTCATGCATACATGTCAAAGGATCAAATTGAATGATTATAATATAAGCAGTATTTGCAAACTCTTTATTTTAGAACAAACCTATGGAATGATTTTCTATCACAACACAAAATATCAGTCTATTCCAAGGATTGACAGATATTAAGAATAATTTTCTTGTTTTTTAGCTTTTGGATTACTCTGTTTTATTTTTAATGAAAAAGCATAGCTATGATTGTAAGAAGTGTGGCATGAAGATCATGATAGAAGCGCACAGATCTCAGATGCTTTAGGTTGTAGTGGAGTTCGCTCGTTTGAATGATGAAAATCGCTGCCATCCAGCAGTATTTATGCGTAACTTTTTTCTCATAAAATTGTTTATATTCATATACTGTGTCAGACATATAAGATCTGTTTCTGAGGAACAATGATCAATTCTTTTTTCGCCTACTCTCCCCCCTTGTATTAAGAAAACGAAACAAATGAGAGCAATTAAGTTTTAGATGCTTATTTACAGCGAAAAGAAGACGAGAAACATTCGTTAAAATAGCATTTTGCCCGTTAACGAAGAATATTGAATTTCTCTCCTATGATAACGAAGGAGCGAATGCATAAAATACCTATGAATGTGCAAGAAGAATATACCACATACATTATTAGGAATAAATATAGAAGAATAAAATTTATTTTAGGGTACTTCAAATGTTTCATAACAAAGCTAAAGTTTATCCAACATCTGTGGCAGTGTTACTTCTTTACAATTTTTACAAAGCAGCGCATAGCATAATGCCTTTACCAAAAAAAATAAAAAGCAAGAACAACAATTCTTTGTTAACGAAACATTTGTTCTGCTTCGCCTTTATGCTAACATGAGAGGGTGTGCGGCAGGGACGGGGCACTATTTGTTTTATCTTACACTTACATTCTCATCTCTACCCACTTGCCAAATTTCTGTGTGAAACTAATTTTAGTTCGATATTTTATTTGAAAAATCTTTAGATTGAAATAGAAATATTTGCAAAATGGAATTAAGCAGATTTTTGCAAGTCGCACTATTACAACACCTCGTATTATTCTGTGACAAATAGAGTCTTGGACGGGTACAACTTTTCGTACTTGAATCCAACGACGTTACACCCGAAATCGAATCGAAGCTTAATAGGTGTCCCCGACATTCAAGTAGACTCAAGCGGGTATTAACAACAGATTCTTAGATAATTTAGTAGTAAGATAAACTCTTCTAATTTCTTTTAATACCAAATAAGATACTGTTATTAAACTCCAAAAAATGAACATTTATGATAAATAACATAAATAGATTATCAAGAAATATAAGAAACTACTTAATCAATAGTGTATTCGTAGTAGCTTGAATACAAGTACAACATTACTGTTCTTCGTTCACATAGTTATTCCGTGTTATTGAATGCATCACTAAATCATGACCCAATAATATTGGGTCACGATTCAGGGTGTGGCTTTTACACTACCGATCACCCACACCCTTTACTGGCCAAGTTTTTTTCAAAGTCAATGTTGCTTGACATTCTAGATGATGTCCTGTACTCTGTTTTAGTTTTGAATGACGTATGAGTTAGTCAATGCTTGTGCAATTACAAAAAACACATGACTTGTATCTTTTATGTCGACTCGAGATATCAACATTTTTTACGATCCGTTTGAAGTAAATGGCATTTATCAGACATCCGACATATGCAGAGCAACAGCATGATATTGAATCGATTCTATCCAAATTATCGATTAAAACTATTGATCAAGTTCTCGAACCATTAGGTCAACGTTGTATGAAATTTGAAAGATTGCAAACATCTGGTCGTGTAAATTTTCTGTATAACCTACGAACACAACCTATATTAGAATCTAATTCAACATCTTACAATGAATTGATATTAAAAATAGCGCATCCACATCGCTATTGAAGATATTATAGAACACAAAATGAAGTTTATACCATGCAATATTTGTATGAACAAACCAGTATTCCTCTACCGAAAATATTGGCCTATTCGTGTGATTCCCATACGAGTATTTTAGAATGTGAATTTATCTTAATGGAGAAAAGTCAAGGTGATACACTTGAACATGTCATCGATAAGATGTCCGATGAAAATTTGATGAAAACTGTAACAGAAATAATCAACTATGTTAAACAATTGCGTGAAATCAATCTGCCACAAATGAATCAGATTGGATCATTTGGTAGTAAAATGTTGCATCTGGGTGGATATGTTCTTGATGGTCCTACACTCGGTCCATTTTATACACCGAAAGAATTCATTTTGGCACATTTACAATGGTCTATTCACTCTATCGAAATTGATTCGCAATCGTTTGAAATTGTCAAACATTTGCTGTTGCCTCTAAAGGAAATTATCAAGCGCATCGAAAATGACGAGTATCTATCGAATGTGAAATATACATATCATATGACTCATACAGATTTAAATACATCGAATATTATTGTTGATCAAATAAATGGTAAAATTTTGGCTATTATCGATTGGGAAAGTTGTGCTATGACATTTGATGAAAGTGATATGAAATTTTATGAACATTGGTCAGATAATGATGAACGAAAAGAAAAAATTAAATCATTATTGCCATCGAATTGGACCAACGAGAGCTCGAATGATATCAGTTATATCATACCATATTTAGATGTGATGTATTCAGCTATGTGGGCAACATTTTACAGTTCTACTTGGTTTGAATCCGAACAAAAAGTACTTGAACATATAAACTATTTTGTACAAGAGACTGAAAAGGCCATTACTGAATTGAACAAAGTTTCGTCATAATCAAAAAAATATCGAATGAAAAAGTGCCGATACACAAGCAGTAGTATCAAATTCTATCAATAATAATTTGTCCTAGAGCTAATTAGTTTCCTGTTTAAGTGATGCATTCAGAATTTTGATAGTTCTAGGTCGAATTCATCTTGGTAGAATCCAACTAGATCTGTTGCAATTTGACGAAGTTCTCTCTGTCGAATTCTGAACAGAAAAATTTGATTGTTTTCGATCATCTGAATCTTCATTCTTGGATGGCAATGCTTAACTATCCGTTGATTACATCATTAGTTTCTGCACAACGTATCTAGTTTATTCGAATACAATGGAAAATAGTTCAGAGTAAAATTCCAAAAAATTTGGTCTCATGATCATCTTGCGGTTCTATTTTCGTGAAATAAGAATGAAAACGAGTGTTGAAGTTTCAAACGAGAAACTTGGATCCTCTTTCTCTCACTGTGCTCACAAACAAATATTCTATTTTCGATTTTTGTTATCATGAACTTATATATTTAAACATTTATTATTTCAATAGGATGGCTGCATTGTGTTTCACATTTTAATTTCACTAGACATTACGGTAACCGTTTTTTTTCTTGTGAAGAAAGAAAGCATTGAAAATTTACTCTTAGTCACAGAAAGACAAACCTTAACAGTTACCACACTTCACAATAGATAAGAACAGCAAAGAAAAAGAAATTTTTTAAACTGCATGTCATGTAGAGTAACAGCATTTCGTGTGAACTATTTAGTTTGAATTATTTCTTTTTCTTTATACAAGCACGAACCAACGGATAGTGTAAATAATCAACGAAACAATGATTTTAGATAGTACACCAGATAAACGCACTAGTGATCGTGTATTGAGTTTTTTTCGACTATATTTTTCTTTTCTTGAACAATCGATAAGCGTGTCCGTCATGTACAAGTAGATGAAGTTTGTGAACTCAATGGATTAAAAATACCACCCAAGGCCTGTTTTTCAGTTATGGAGGATGTATTTGTACTACTGAAATCCGCGAAGAAGGCATTTATTTAGAGAGAAGTACTCATGTTCTTTTATGGTCATTGTGATCAGTTTATGCGAACAATAGACACCTATAATAAGGATAATATTAGCGATGAGCAATTGATACGTCTCGAATCGATACTTGCTCGAGACAAGAGTGAACCAACAAATGTTCAAATGGCATCTTTAAGATGTTACCATTTTTCTTTGTAGCCTCTCGTTGGTTCTTTAAAGCAACATTGACAACTCATACAAAAGCAACAAGCACACTAACACATTACGAATGATACTCCGGATGTAGGTGTGGGTGTGGATGTGGGGTATGTAGGGGAGACTTATACACTGTCTCAAACCGACACCTTACATCCACAGCGAGAGACCTTTGTTGTTCCCTTTTGATAGCAGAGTACTAGTAGTGCTACCTGTAATATTGAAAGTGTAAACTGAGATACTGAAGGTGCTACGTGAAATTCTAGAGAATCACCTAGAATGCTAAAAGAATTTCTTAAGATGCTAGGAAATTACTTGGGATGATATAGTATTACCTTTGATGATAGCAGGATCCGTAGCGGTGTTGTCAGCATCCCAGGTGATCTCTACCATCGTAGATAGTATCTAGAATACGAGGAAAGGTCTCTAGCATAGCTGGTAGAGCTGATAGCATTTCAGTCTGAAGAGAAAACAACAAAAGGCATTGAACACCTCTGTTCTAATAATGACTTCCCTCTAAACTGTTCATGATGCGAACTGAGCCATTGAAACAGTTCAGAACAACTCGCTTTTCGTAACGAACCGTTAGTTTCGAATTTTTGTTGAACTGTCGTACTTCTATCGTGCACTCATATCGAGTAGGTTACTACTTTCTAACATCAGCTCTTCTTCACAAATGTCTAACAAAAAAAATACCCGATGACAAAATGATAAGAAATTTATTTTTTTTATTTCAACTTTTCTAACATACTATATTCCATAATAAGTCAATAGGCAAATATCCTCGAAACTATGAATGATTTTTTCGTTCATAGCCATAAAAATGAGCAGATAACTAAACATGTCAAATGTTGAAGATTTTCTTGTCAGAAAACGATTGAAAGATGAAGGCTAATAAGAAATTTTCATAGGACAAATATTTTCACCAATGAAAAAAATATGAAAAAATATCATTAAACGAACTCACACAAATTTCGAGACAAGTTATGTAAGAATCTTTTATTAGCATATATTTAAGATACAGGTGAGTTTTGGTTTTTTTGTTCTAATCAAGAAGATTTCGGTGTTTCCACTTGTGAAAACTTAAGGCTAGATTAGAATGGACGTTGAAATCTTGAGAATTTCCGTTTGTTTACCTCGATGATTTTCAAATTTGCGTTTTTTTCTTGTTTCTCATTGATTTTTATGAGTTACCTTCCCTCAAAAATTGCTGATTCTTTCCTCAATCACTTTTCTCTTGTTCTTAGTCTTCAAGGACAATATCTGATGTTCATAGATGCGCTTTGATTAAGTATGCCACCATAACTTTATTTTGTATTTTCTTATTCAGTGCTAAATCTTGATTGCTTCAGGTTCCATTTAAATTCTGCAGAAGTCATTTATCCATGACCATCCTGACTTATTCTCACTTTTTAAAATCTCATCTTAAAGTATGATATCTAATTTTGACTTTTTGTTAAATAGAAAATGATTGCGATTTTGATAACATGATAGTTTTCAGAATAATTTAAAAAAGAAACGTGAAATAAGATCGCTTATGAGTAAAATAAACCCACTAATCTCGTCTGTTCGTTGTACTAAGATAGTTCACATAAGCATGAAAAAAACTAATGTTTTTTTCTCAAATTATTGTTTATATATATATATATATATATATATTAACGTAATAATTTTAGATTGAATCATGAAAAATATAGTTTCTAGCAGTTTTTTCTAATACATAAAAAAATAATTTAATAATCTTAATAAGCCATGAAGAAGTAAAAAAAAAACCTTAATAATTGCAAACACTGTATAACAGTAAATAAAACGAAAAGTTCAATAGCTATTTGACTAAAATTTAATTATATTGGATGAGTTTGAGAAGAAAACTGCCTTCATTTAGAAATTAATGACTAATACTAATTACATAATGTCACTTTGATTCCATGTTTTAATTAAGATCAAAATAGTATTATTAGAATTATACATGAATAAAAATTTTGAAAAAGAGCTACATTTATTCATCGTTATTACGTGAATCACATTCCGCAAACAAAGTGTCATAAAAGTGAGCCTTTATTTTTCTGGCTGAGACAAATTTATAGTGATCAAAAATAATATTGAAAGTTTGTAATCATATTGAGTACTTTCCTTGATGTTATTGTATTTAATGGAGCTAGCTGGACATAAGATAACCACTTCTCTAGTATACAATGAAAACTGCTAAGTATCATTTATCTTTCTCGAGATTCTGTTTCATGTATTTACAATTCATATGATGTCGACACATCCCATCAAAAAAATTAAATCAGACAATTTACCAATGTCCATCGAAACTATCCACAAAGAACATGGAGACACTTCTTATAAATAGATTTCGTTTCGTTTTCATATAGAATTTGGTAAATATGAAAGGTTATCTTGTTTTAACGAGCATCTTTAAATACAACATGTGACAATTTTCTACTTATTTATATCTAATTGATTGAGAAAAACAAAAATATTGTCAGTAGATTACATCATTGTTTGTTGTTTTATGACATGCATGTTCTCTTTTCATAACGTATTCAAGGTAAATGGATCAGAAGTTTTGAGTAAGATGTTAATTTGATTTTTGTTCCTTTGAAATTGTTTCTCAATAGTGAAAAACTGTAGCTGTTCACCTAAATTGTGTGCGTCTTTTAAATGTAGCCTTAGAAAATTTGCCTTTATTTTATTCAAAGCTAGTAAGATAATTATTGATAGTAATACGAATCTATTAGTTTGGAGAATAAAAAGCTTTTATTTTTGAAAAAAAATTGATCCTTTGAACAAAAACACGTTTTGCATAGAAAGAAGCTCTTGATAGAGTGTCTATTGCTTTACTTAAACAAATGCTGCAGCTTAGTTTAACATAAGATTTTTTAACAAAATGTCTACTTGACAAAGTAAGCGGCTACAATTATTTTTAGTATCTTCAACAACGAACTAACAGGAAATAGATCCAAGGTATCTAAAAATCAACGAATATTTTGTCTCAAAACATTGGCATGCCGGTTCATCTAATAAAAAGAAAGCGATAGATGTGAACTAGCAGGCTTTTGTCCTTTATGAATGACTTCATATGGTATTTGATTTTTTTTATTTCAGTCTGTTATAATCTTTTTGTTCCTATTTCTAGGTAGCAAATGTTATCGTACAAATTCAGCTAATTTTAAAGAATATTTGTAACGATAAATGAAAGAAAGATGGTGGTGACAGGCTGGAGGAGTAACTTACCGCCACCCTCGGTAATGATGTTTATTAGCTACTTTACATCTCCAGAGTGTGTCTATTGCACATTCAATACAAGCTTGTATATGATAAAGAAACAAAGAGAGAGAGATGATACAGAGAGAACAATAGAGAGAGAAAGAGGAAAGAGGAAGAGCAGCGAGCTGTAACGCATATATCGGCACAATAACTCATTGAATATTTCTATATAATAGAACCATAAAAGTTTTATTTTATAGATGTCTACATCATCAGAACACAAAAATATTATTAAAGTGCAGTTAAGTCGTGTGTCCTTTTGTTCTTACCATATTCTTCTATCATCCATTATGTCCTGAGTCGGACGTCAGATACATTGAACGTTATATTTCAGCGAGAAATAGCGACGATTACTTTTATATGGCTTCTAACGGGACACATCCTAAATCTAAAAATCTCATCGCTATACTGACAAGAGGCGAAAATTTTACTGTTCTCAGTGAAAGAATCGGTAAATTAGATGAAAGGCTAAAAGACAACCTTACTACACATGTTACGGTTTTTTTGCAATAGTTATCCAGAAGATTGTTAAATGTGGGAAATTAATCGATATACAAAATGGCGTGTTATTCTCTACATCTTGGATAATTATTTCAAACAATTTTCACCGAATTTCAATCCATACTCACGTAAACCGAACTGAGATATAGGAGAAAAATGGAGTTATCATCATATCATTTCTTTTTGATTTAAAGTTGTTTTTGATCTTCCTGAAGTACAACATTACGAATACATGATGTATAATGCATTAGGTGAACAGAATCATTGAAAGTAAGCGTATATACAAATATCAATGAGAAAATGCAATCTTAGATACAGTATCGGGTATTTTAGCAAGAAAAGAACAAGTTATACATTGAAAAGAATTTGGTTTCGACTATTGTTATCCTTGCCGATCGACATTGCAGGAATATTATCGAAATAAGTTATAATATCTAGAAATGATGCAAAGTAAATCGAACTACTAGATTTATTTTTTATTCTTTATAATTTATTCTTAGAAGTTTTTCTTTATTTTTTACACTGGCATATTCTAAGAAAAAATATAAAATAAAACTATCAATCATAATTTGATGATCCATATTAAAATGTGCTAATATAAAGTACAATTGCTGTGTTGATTGTGCTCATGTCATTGACAATGTTTAATGTAAAACGATGTTAAATATCATATCCTAAAGATAACAAGTTGATAACTGTCTCATAATATAATATGATGAGCGAAGGTTTGACGAGCATCTCCTTGCTTTTTTTTATCATACACCCAGCCACATTTTTTGGGTTCGTGTATATGATGAGACTTGTGTATATTTTTCATTCTCATCGTATTTTCTTATCAGTCGTATTTTAACCAAAATCTACGGGTATCTTTAAATAATGTTTTAACTTTTTAGTATCTAACATGGTATACTTTAGGCTCTCGATTATTATCGAAAACAGTAGTATACTTATAAAAAAAAAGGGTCATGCGGAGAACATTGACTTCATTTCTGCTATTGTATTGGTTGAATATTGGACAGTTATCAATAGCTCAGAATATTCCAGATACAGAATATGAACAGGTCATTGCTGAACGCTACCTGTTTGGTTCATATGCGAATGAATCAACAAGTTGGCCTGTACTCAACAATATCAATTATATTTGGCAAGCAGCATCATTACCACAATACCATTCACAAACATCAGAAGGCGTGTGGCTTTTATCACAGGCTCTCAATACTAAACCAGATCGTGATTTATCATCGGGGATGTTTCAAATGTCTTGGATGTCGTTGTCAGCCAACGGTACTCTGATCCATTTATCAGAGATTCCAATACATAACAATAACAGTTTTCTGGTTTCATCACATGACGAAATGACTGCATCATCTTATTCAGCTGCTCTAATCACACTGATCGATGTACAATTTATATTATGCGATCAAAACGATGCAACGTCTTGTAGAATTATAAAAATTGTTACGTTTCCTTCTGTTCTATCGAAGACCACAAAGATCAATGATGGATTATTTATAGACGATCTTGGACATGCCGGATGGTTGTACATTGCTGCTGATACGGGTTTACATGGATTGGATCTTTTAACTATGACGGTGTATCCTTACGTGAACTCGATTAATGTTTCAGTTTCTTCATTAGCATGGAGTTTAAAGCACCAAACAATATTTGCAGGCACTCAGGCGAAACTTTGGCTTCAACAATATGGCATTGGAAATGAAGGATGGCGATTTGAACATATTAATGCATTCATAGACACACCGATTACTTCTTTGGCGTATAATGACGGGCAAGACAAACTATGGATCGGACAGAATACAGGCATTACTCTACTTTCACCTCTTACTATGTCCACAGGACAACTTCATTGGTATTTTTCAAGACTAGCAGGACAAATTTCGAATCCTGGATCGGACATTGGACATTTACCATTTACAAATATAACAGTATTGGCTACTAGTCATTCGAAATCCTTTGATAGTCGTATATGGTTAGGCGCCGTTCGAGGAGTAATGCGATTCGATTCAAATGCAAGCGAATTGGATGCTTGGCGTGTCTTCAACAGTGCTCGGTATATGCCTAGTCATCAATCACAAGTCAATGTCTCTTCATTAGCCGTACTTAGTCGTCCAAATGGTGTACCATCTGCTTTAGGTAGTGCTGCAGTCGCAGTTACAAATCGAGGATTAGCTGTTCTTCGTTTCGAAATGTGGACATTAGCACGAAAAGCAGATCATTTTCAAGCATTTTTCGATCAACCTGGTAGACATGATAAATATGACCTCGTATCTAGTTGTGATATGTCATCATGGGGTGATACTCGTACTTGTGTTAAAGGACCTGATGATAATGATGGTCTTTGGACATCGACGTATTTAGGGAGTCAAGTCTTTCGTTATGCACTAACGCGAGATCCGATGGTTAAAGCACAAGCATGGAGAAATTTTGAGGCTTTAGAACTGCTCAATCAAGTTTCAGGTATTCCTGGTTATCCTGGACGGTCATTTGCTAAGCGAAGCGATTTTCCTCCAGATCCGGCTTGGCACTCATCTCCAATTAATTCAACTCTTCAATTTAAAGGTGATACATCATCGGATGAAATTGTCGGTCATGAATTCGTCTATCCACTTGTACATGATTTATTAGCTGAGAATGACGATGAACGTCAACGTGCATACATACTTTCATATAAAATTACAGATCATATTTTGACTCATAATTGGTATTTAGTCGGTGAGAATCATACGCATACAACATGGGGTATTTGGAATCCGATTCAAATAAATAATGATAGTTTTTATCAGGAAACTCGAGGTCTCAATAGTCTACAAATATTAGCTTTTCTAGTACAAACGTATGCTTATAGTGGAGATGAACGTTTTCTTGCTGGTGCTAATCTTCTTGTAGATTCCTATCAATATGATGTCAATCTGATTAATGAAAAAACAATCGCTGTATGTGATAATAGTTTTTCCGATGATGAGCTGGCGTATTTATCGTACTTTACATTAGTGCATGGATTTCATACAGTTGCTTCATCAACTGTTTTAACTCCTGATCAGAAACAACGTGTACAAACATTAATTGATCGGTTATCTGAATACATAAAAATTGGATTAAATCTATCACATAAATACAAACAAATGGAAAAATCACCTTTCTATAATTTCATCTATTGCTATGTTAGCGGGCAAGTTAATGAAACTCGACAATTATTTCGAAAACATTCTGTTTCCTCAAGTGCATCATCTGACTTCGATTGTTCATCATTATCAATGGATGGAGTTTGGTATCTGCGACGTTGGCCATTAGAACTTATCAATTGGCAACAATTCAATAGTGACCGGTTAGATGTTCTAATCAATGTACCAGCTGCATGTGGTTCGTCAAAAGAATCTTTAACTCCATTACCACCGGATGAACGATCTTCTCAGTTATGGAATTCTGGTGTCTACGATTTAGATGATGGTAATGGATTTCATGAAAAATACCCTGCTAGCTATTTACTTAGTTACTGGGGTATGCGTTATTTTAATTTATTAGGATAAACATTTCCAACTTCTTTACTCTAATAATTGAAATAAAAACATTCCTTCATTGATTCTAAATATTTGATTATGTTTCTGATCCACGATATACCGATCGTATTCAAATGAAAAAATATTGTCTGTTCTATGTTTATTGATTAGTGTTTGTTATTCACAATGTGTAATCGCTTGCTTCAACTTTACTTTTTCGTGAACATAGTTCTTTTAGAAAAATTGATGGGTGTGGATGTGAAGTGCGGGTGTGGGATGTGGGCGTGAGCTATCTTTTTATCAACATCCACGCCCACGCCCACACCGTTTGGAGCTAAGAAGAGAATTTCGATTCCGTGTAGTAAAACTCCATTTCTCACAAACATCTCACACCCGCTATAATCAAGTTATTCCGTAACAGAGTTTTCTTAAAACCACAAAACTACGTCGTCCCAAAACTGGCATCAAAAAACAAACCTCAGCCGAAATTCTAACCCGTCAGTCGATTAGGCTATCACAAATATGAGCTTTCTTCGTCAAGATTTCACATGAACTTAATACAACTCGTTGCAAAACTTCATTTATGCAATTTTATCAGATACGCACACACAAAAACTAATACTACGAATCATATTGAACTGCGAACTTCGAATTCCTAGAGGACACGATCAATATCTTCTCAGCCACTTAGCCCAACAATTTTGAGCACGATTCGCATGTAAACTAAATCGTACCAGAATACGCGACACCCCACATAATTACTGCAAAAGCTTCACTTTTTGGTGGATAACCTTAACCGAAATGACATCATCGAAGTCAGCATAAAATTCTGCATGTAGCATAACCATTTAAAACTATAGCACAGACTTATAATCGAATCGGGACAGAAAATAACGAATCTGGTGGTAACTTTTCTGACGTTCATCATTCTTCAATGATAGTTCTATTTTGAATATATTCTTCTTACAGGTTAACAAAGTATACCCTAATACAGAGTGACAAACTTTGCATAATACCTATTTGCCTACTCTGAATAGTGTCTAAGAAATCATGAGATGCAAAAACTACTACCATCTGACAGTTGTTGACACGATCAATATTCGTTAGTCAATGCAAATTATATAAAGATGGTTTCATTCTCTTTCCTGAAAATTAAAATGCAATAACATCAACTATCATTTTACTGAAACTTGCTTGACAAAACATTCATACATCGAAAATTCTCTCAAAACTTGTAAATGATGGATTCCAACTCAAATAAGACTATCGCTAAATCAGTGCGATTTTGGCTATTAGCTGTTGTAAACAGTTTATCACTTATATGTTCACTTTTTCATCTTTATCATCTGTTACCAAGCGTGTTCTACAAGGAGCCTTAACTAACCATTCAATTATTCTTCTGGTTTGTGTAACACTTATCATTCAGCTATTAGATGCTTCATTCTATGTAATATACCTTCGACTTGGCTATGTCTGGCTTCAAGCATCATCCTTTTGTTTTTTTCTGGTGAAACATCGATGTAGTTACTTCTGAAGTGTTGATCATGGTTATCACCATGGCTTCACTGGAGAGACATATTCTCATTTTTCATGAGAAATGGTTATCGACTTCAAAAAGACGACTATTTTTGCATTATATTTCACTTGTAGTCTTTCCTATATATCCAATACTGTTTATTGGATTAGGACAAATTTTCGTCATATGTGACTTTCCGATTATCTACCATACACACTACCATGGTGTGGTTTTGCTGCTTGCTTTTAATATGATCCACTACTTTATGATTGATAATTCTTTTTCAATTGGATATTGATCACTTTTGCTAGTATTTTATCTGATTTCGCTCTAGTCATACGAGTTATTTGGCATAGAAATATTCGTTTAAGAAAGCCAATTGTGTGGCGAAAACATCGTAAAATGACAATTCAATTATTATCGGTATCAGTATTCTGGTCCAGTTTTAATACTCCTATGCTTATCTATGACGCATTGTCCAGAGTTGGAGTTTTATCATCTTATATGACTAGTACACAGGTGATAGTCTATTTTATAGGCTATTTCTCAATGTTATTTCTGCCATTTGCCATAATACTTTCGCTTCCAAAAGAGTATTGGTGGGGGAAATTGTGCGGTAGGCAACAACATCAACAAAAAATAACACCTGCAATTGTAGCTGCGCAAAATCGAAACCCAATATTGGTGCGCAATATCACATAAACTGTTTCGTCCGCATTGAGGATTTTTTCAACTATCCATCATTAAATATAAAACATTGAACCATATATTTTTCATAAACTGACTACTAAAATTTCGCATATTTTTTGGATATCCTTTGAATAATCTCCGCTAAAAAATATTTTGGATCGTTACTTTGACCATCTCAAAGATCATGTTGATCTATGTTGTCAACCAATGAACCCTGATCAATGCGTATTAGTAAAATATGCCCTCACCCACTCTCTTCCACTCTAACTGCCGTTTCATTCTAAGATATTATCGATGTATAGAACATAAAATTGTGTATTCACAAGAATTCACTCTGACCCATTTTCTCCAATCAATCTTAGACAAAAGAATCAAATACATTTTTTTGAGTTCACACTCACCCAACAAGACGGCATGAATGTGAGTATAAGTAACGTATGAATATATATGTGAGTAGATGTGCAGGGTGAGCTGGTGTGTAGTGCATTTGAGCTGTGTGTAGACTAGGAGTGTCATATTATATTGCCACTAAGTTAAAAATAATGTCAATACTTTCTCATTAACATTAACGGTCAATACAAATACTTTGGCATTCATTGTATTGGAGTTTATTAATGCTTAGGTGTTAGAATAAAAAATAATAGGGTGTGAATGTGGATGTGGAGTATGGATGTGTGATATCTTTTCATCTATAGCCTTTCTTGTGCTCATGACCACACCCACCCGCACTCACATCCACACCTACACCCACGGTCTCAAGTCTAACGGAAAACAAAGGTGATTTTAATTATATGGATTCATTTCTCGTATATTTAGTCTGCAAGAGAAAAACCTATTGATAATAATAGAATGTTTTCCTTTTTGATCATGGCATGTCGATTTATTTTGCGATAATGATGATATGACAAGATTTACAGATTATTTACAAAGGATTATTCTATTGACAGAATGGTTTGTTGATGAAGATTGATTTACCAAGAAATAGGATATCCATTATGGAACTGTCACTCAAAAGATTAAAAGTATGATTACCAGCAAGAAAGATGGTTTGCATTCTAATCTTCAGTTTGTTAAAACAAAACATTATCAGATATTCTCCAGATACAAAGAAAATCGAATAAAATAAAGAAATCTTGAATTTTTGAATTCATTTTTCTTCTTGTAGAGATAAAAAAATCACGAGTCTATTGAACATGTTTGCAGATACCATTTAAAATTCAGTCATTTTATATTATAACTGAAAGCAAAGAATTTATTGTTGTAGAATTTCTTAAACGAAACAGATTTCTTATGATGATAGATAATTGAATTTTATATAATGTGTTAAGAGTAAAAAATACAAAATGAATTAATATGAACATAGTCATGTTTCGATTCTTGAGTTTGATAATGGCAGTGTGTCTGATATTGAGAGAAGAAATCTTATGAATTTTTACGGTGATCTTAGAAAACATTGGAAAGTGTTTGCCGGTGGGCCGTTCTCATGCTGCAGCATAACGGCGCAAAAAATTTTCGTTTTACTTACATTTTGATAGATTAATTGTCTCTTTTGATCTATGTTTACGTATACATCATGTATATTTTTCTATTTCTATTCAATATTCTTCAGCTCTAGACTATTCATTTTCTCCAGAAATTATGAAATTTTTAATTCGTCATAAGACTTTCGTCGAACTTGATCACGTTTACAACGTAATAATCATATTTCGTCTCATTCTTTCTTGAAATCCTTTTGTTTTCTTTTGTTTTTTGAATATCAGCTAACTGTAACTTTCCATAACGAAAATTCTTCAAAAACTATTTGAAAATTATTATGAAACGTATTATAAATGAATTAAATTTACAGAAAATAGCTGGTGTCAAATTGAATACATATCTAAACTGTAAGTCACGAATAATAGTACAATGAAATAACATCTATTCATCCATCTTTCTCTTTTTCAGTCATTTTGCTAGCAGAGGAACTGCTCAATTATTACGTTCTATTTCTCCTTTCTTTTGATCTTTCATCTTCTGCATATTCTTCTTTTTTTCCATTTTTGAAAAACATGAATAATAGGAAAAAGATCCAAACGCTAAATAATTTAAAAATTGATGTAAAATGTCTAAAAGGTCAGCAATCATTTGTGAACAAAAATTTACTAAAAGAAATATCAAAAATTTTTTATTATGAGTTCATCAAGGTACTAAAAAATTAATATGTAAAACCAGAACTTTAACAGATAAAAGATAAAATGATTTCATTGGTAATACCGTTAAGAAACTTTTAGTCTTTTATTCCTTCCATACGCTCTGTTTTGATAAACAGTTTACATCATATTCGATATTAATTAGCTTCTACATTTTTTCAGTATTTATTCATTTTTTAAAAAATGGAAAAAAGAAGACCATCAAAGAGATAGAAAGATCAAAAGAGAGGAGAAACAGAAAATGTGATAACTGAATATTTCTTCTGCTAGCAAAGCGGCTAGCAAGGAGGGAAAGAGAGACGAAAAAAATGACACCTTTGAGAACAAACAAGCTAGTTTATGTTTTATGGTGCTATGCTATTATTCATATTCAGACTCATCATTATCTTCGACGATTTCTAGATTTCTTCGCGCGCATTTTTCTTTATACATATTAAAGTTAATAGCCACGAAAAATGTGATTTTGTGAAATGAATATGTAATAATTATTTTTTTCTCCTTTTGAAAATAGTTTATTTTTGAAGTATAGATAAACATATTCGCTTCATAATTGGAATTATCACTTTCCATTTTCATGTGTTGAGAATTAATTACCAATATATGTCCGAATATTTCTTGTTACATATTTTTCGTTAATTGGCTAATCTTGGACATATGTGTGTAACAATTCATCGATTTTATGTTCTGTTACATAAATAATCAGTCATACTTTTTGCTCTACAAGAATAGATGTTATTTCATTGTACTATTATTCGTGACTTACAGTTTAGATATGTATTCAATTTGACACCAGCTATTTTCTGTAAATTTAATTCATTTATAATACGTTTCATAATAATTTTCAAATAGTTTTTAAAGAATTTTCGTTATGGAAAGTTACAGTTAGCTGATATTCAAAAAACAAAAGAAAACAAAAGGGTTTCAAGAAAGAATGAGACGAAATATGATTATTACGTTGTAAACGTGATCAAGTTCGACGAAAGTCTTATGACGAAAGCGGTCGACCGATCGGCAAACATTTTGAAATGTTCTCTTAGTAGAAGATTGTGTCTAACATAAAAGAATGAATAATTTTCAATGTATAACCAAAACATAGTTTTGTTGAAATAGTCAAACTGCAGTAAAAACTGAACAGACAGTAATAAATTTCAAATAGAAGAAACAACTTTTTTGCTCAGTATTTTTCATTAAAAACCAGTTTATGCTTTTAGTTCTGAAAGTCTGTTCAATTAGTAAAATAGTGCTATGCCGACTTTGAAGCATACAAATTAAGACGACGACGGACATGGAAATAAAATAATATATATTTTTCCATCTATAAAAACAAGAAATAAACGCTAAAGCTTTTATTAACAAGTCCGTACTCTTATTTGATATTTACTTTAAACGCTTTTATTGGAGATTTTTTCATCATAATATTTATTCTGTTCTGTTGGTGTTATTTTCGCATCTTTACCTTCGTGTCAATAGCATATCACTTACTTCATTCAATCACACAGCTAAAACTTCCATTTCCATGTTCTATATAAAGGCGATATTGAGACTGAGTAGATTGGTATTATTCAATCATGTTAATGTCCACAGTAGTCGTTATCGTTCTTTTCTCTTTTAACGGTATTTTGCAGGCTGCAAAATGTCCGAATATTGCTACCGTATCTGGATTTAATGCGAACAGAGTAAGTTATTCTAGAAGGAAATATCTTTAAATAATAGATTTTTGAAATGTTCAGTATGCAGGTGTATGGTATGAAGTATATCGAAATACTATTTTATTTGAACTTGGTGCTAAATGTGTCAATGCAACTTATACAGTACAAGATGATGGATCAATTGGAGTATTCAATCAAGCTATCAACTCGTTCGGTTATTATACTAGTATAAATGGAACAGCTAAAGTAAAAAATTCTGCACAACCCGGTTCATTAGTTGTTAATTTCAATAGTCCAAGTATGAATCGTTTATTTTTTGAAGAATTCTTTTTTCGTGACTGTCTATTTGTCTGTTTGAACAGGTGTACAGGGCGACTACAATATAATCAGTACAAATTATGATGACTATGCGCTAGTCTATTCATGTCGGAACTTTTTCTTCAATTGGTTTAAATGGGAATCAATATGGTTTCTTTCGTATGAAGAAAATTGCTTTTTTTTTTAAAGTTCCATTGAATTTTTATTCTTGATATTTCTTTTATTTAGACGAACAAAAACATTACCTTCAGAAACAGTCGATGCATTGAAAAATATTTTATCGAATACGGGCGTCAGTACAAGTGGACTTAAACAAACAAATCAGAACTGTTAATATGATTTCATCTTATCCTTATTTGCGTAGTTCTTGAAAATAGGGTTTATATATCATGTTCGTGTGAGAATTAATTGTTTAATGATCATTTTTAATCTGAGTATGAATAAATATTTTGGCGCAGTGCGTAAATGATCAGTTGCATTACAACCAAAGTTTATCTTCTTATTTTAATGATGTTGTTTGTTACTTTAAAAAAGAAGTGGGTGTGGGTATGGGTGTGATTGCGGGTGTGGGTTCTATTATAGTAAAGAATAACACCCACACCCAACTACAGCTAGACAAAAACGATTTCTGCTGGTCGTAGTCGACTATTTTACTAGATGGATCGAATTATTTCCATTGAAATCAACTACATCTATTGATATAGCAAATATTCTTATGAATAAAGTATTTTCAAGATATGGATTACCAAAACACATCGTGTTGAACAACGGTCCTCAATTGGTATCAAATTTATTCAAAAATTTTTGTGATAAACTAGGCATTAAACAAAATTTAACAGCAAATTACCACCCACAAAGCAATATGACAGAACGTGTGAATAGAACATTAAAGCCGCTAATTGCCATATACGCTCAACAACATCATAGTTCATGGGACATTGAAATTCAAAAATTAGCCTTTGCAATTCGGACAGCAATCAACGAAACAACAGGTGAAACACCAGCCTTTCTGATGTTCGGTCGTGACCCCAGAGATCCACTCGATCTATTAATCGGTGAAACAATAGAAGAATCCAGCTCAATGGTAGTGAATCATGAATCAATTCAAGAATATAAAAACAAATTGATCAATAATTTTCGAAGTGCATTTAACGTTATTAGAGAACACTCAGAAATAGAAAAAATAAGGCAAAAAGAAAAATATGACCAACACACTACCCAAAAACAACACAAAGAAGGTGATTTAGTATGGATCGCGAATCTCAAACCACAAATTGGAGAAAATTGTATGGTGGGAAAATTACAACCACATTACGAAGGCCCATACCGTTTGATCAAATAACTATCTCCAAATACGTTCACAGTGTGGCGATTAGGTGATAATGTCAATCTGGGTGCTACCAACACCGACCGTTTCAAGCCATATATCGAATTAGACAGATACAACGAAATTGATAAAATAACAAACATAAATGACCGGTCAATCAACAAAGAGGAACAACATAAAGATGATATAGAGCGACAACAGGTGAAGAAAAACTAGCCGTCAATTAACAATCAACTATAACATCGTCGAGTGTCAAAGCGTCGCCGCAGGGTGCCGAGACGCTATCTCGATAATTAAACAGCAACCAGATAGCATCGATCAGCTAACAAAATTACGTGAAAAAAAAAGAAGAAAAGAAAAGCACAGACACTATCTAGAAACAACACTAATCACACATGACGAAAGAGAATGAAGAACGAATAGATAACTAGCTAATCAATGCTAGAAAATAAAAAAGGAGAAAAGAAGAAAAAAGAAAGAGAAAATAAACTCTTTGAACATTAGAATACGTAATACATTTTATACAACAACAGCAACAAGATGATACATCATATGGAACGGTCCGGTGTAGCAGCATGTCTACTGCCATTAATCACCACAATGACAATACAGTCCCCACAGCGTGATGTTCTGCATAAATCGTCTGGCCTGGTAATGAAATACTTGTCGGAATATAAACCAGCAAGTGACGTGATCGTCATTACTATATCTATACCGGTCGTGACCAGTATGTATTATACTATAACATGGAAAGTCATGAAAAAAATTCCACAGTATGAAATGATCAAAAGACGAAACGATACATCACACAAGCGTAACAAACGGCTCATCACGGATATAATCTCCATCGTCATCGGAACAGCTGCAACAACATCATCAACTAGCAATACAATACAAATAAACAACCTTCAAAAGGAAATAAAAGTCGCCAAATCATCGTTGAATGCATTGAAAAGTTCAATTAATACACATAACAGTCAATTATTTCAACTTGCGAAAGGGCAAATCAGAATAATTGAAGAACTCTGTCACACCCAAGTTGCCCTGAATAACACAATCGTCATGATAAACGAACATTCAAATGCGCTCAAACAACAACAAAAAGCCATCACAACGATGATGTCAATGATTATGCTGCTTAGAAAAGAGTTAACATTTATCACACAAGCGATGGAAACTCACTTCATTCAAGAATCTATGGAAGACATATTCGCGAATAAAGCAAATTTAAGATTCATACATCCCAATGACTTACCAAATGTATTAAAAATTATCATAAAACGAGCTAATATCAACGTGGAAGAAATGGATGAAACACTGCCAATCATCGAAGTTTTCAATCAGCTACTAATACAATAACGCATCGAATTCATCCAAATTGATGCCAAACAACTGCAAACAGAAATCAAAAACCGTTCTCAACTTACAAATTAATAGCGATACCGTTCGATCAAGGCAAGCACAGATGGAAATTAGCACAATTACCAGATATAATCAGCATTTCAACTAAAACTCAGGAATTAATCCAGTGGTCGAGAGAAGAAAGTTTCACATGTAAATTCAAATCATTATCTTCCTGTTGAGAAACACCACCCATCCAGAAAAATAGGCATCAATCATGCTTATTCGAGATATTAACAGACTCAAACCTAACATTATATCGTATTGAACATGAACTTGAACCAATTTTTATACAAAGAATCGGCCAACAATGGCCAATATCAACAAGAAATGAAACAAAGTGTCATCGCGTTACGCAGCTAGAACAAGAACAGCATGCCATAACATTAGATAATGAAATAACCATCCCGCCGATAGCATTAGTGATAATTGATAGATCAACAACATGGAGCTGCGATCATTTTCTTCTGCCCGGCATATCAAACAGTACACCGGAATTGATTCAAATTATTGACAACAAACAACTGATTTATGACAGCTAAAAACTGATTAATCTACATCAGATGATGAGCAACGACACTCAGTGGAAAAAAATACCATATGTGCCGGGAAACATACAAAATATATTCGAATATTTAATAACAACAGCACCTATGCCTACAACACAAGCAACAACCTGGCACCAACACGGAACGGTTGTAGCAGTGGGACTAATTGGTATTATGTCAATCACCTCAATAATCCTATACGTAAAATTAATAGGTAAAACAAAAAGACATCAACTTCAGAAATGATCATAATGCCATCAATCTGAAGAAGCTTAATCATAATTTCAACACCAGCATCTCTCAAGAGCGAAATACATAGACCATCGAAACAAACTGATACACCAGCCAGGTTCAAAGACATTTCTGTATATAGTGTAAACGAATGTAAAAACACTCCCTTTTTTGTTTTCTTTCCGTTTCTTTACTTCCACCACTTCTTTCTTTCCTGCTCGTGTTTGCGCAATTTTCTTTTCTTTTCTTTCTCTCCTTTGCCTTCGCTCTGATGTCCGGTGTCTTATTTCAAGAACATGAGCGCATTTTTATGTGTATATGTTCTCTACCCTCTGTTTTTTTCAGCTTGACGCCCAGGAATGCGTCCTGTCTAGGTGGGGAGGGGGTGTGCCAAATTAGGCACCTATCCTATGCGATTGGCAAATATATAACATTATACTCTGTTCATAAACATGTTGTTCACCTTGATTAATTTGTTTCTCTCCCAGGTTATTTCTCTCTTTCCATGTTCGCTCTCTTATGTTTCAACGCGCGTTCAAGTGGAACAGGAGTATAAAAGGAAAGAACGCACGGAAATAAAATAAGTTGAAAACATGAAATAAATCCATCATCGTCACAGATACCCCACCCTATAATAGAAGCCCCTTCCATATTAGAAGCTCCCCTCCAGAAGAATCAACGTGCAAGACATATTAGAAGTTCCTTCATCTTAAAGAATTTTTGAAAATTTCTTTTGGAATTTTCACCATAAAACTTGTAAAAGTCAAAATCAGAAAGTAAGGATTTGTTTTATTTTCTTGTTTATTACCACAAAAATCTTGACATTGCATAGAAAGTTGTTAGAACAGTTCTTAAAAATCCTGAAAATTTCAAAAGACTTGAAATTTTTTCCATCTAATAATAATGGTTTACATTTGATAGAAAAACAGAAATTAATTTTTTTCAAATCTTTTCTTTTATTTTATTTCATATCGAGGTTCCATTGTACTAGTCTTCATTACCGAAATCTATACTGAGATTGTTACAGCAATCGATAGTTTTACATAAAGCAAAATACGAACAAAAACCTTGTATACACTACACGAAATTAATTTGAAATAGGCAATGTGAATAGAGCATTAATATGCAGGTCATCTCGAGAAGATTATTTAGTTCTTAATGTATCCATTACTTTACTTAATTCAAGTTGAATTAATTCCTTTTCGTTGTGTACTGTGTACCACACCAAAGAGAAGAAAGATAGACATTTATAATGAATAGAAATGATTTATAAACACTCGTATAAAATATGAAGAAAGATAAACAGATGCCTTTCTTCTTTCTATATGTTCACATTTTTTTCTATGTAAAATTTCCCATTTTTGCAAAAATCTCATTCTCTATTTCGGCAGTGAACCTATATACATAGAAATATCGGTATGAAATGAAATAAAAAGAGATTTTTAGTTTTTTGTATTAGATTTGAACAATAATGTTATCGACTATTGTAAATTAAAATCATTATTATTATTTTCAAAGTTATTTTCCCTAAACACATAGTTTTTCATCTAAAACTATTGAAAAATTTTAGGGTATAATAGAAGCCCCCTTCAAAAATTTTGGATGGTAGACAATTTAGAAGCCCCCGGGGCTTCTATTATGGGGAGGGGTGCTAAATAAAAAGTAAAGAGGATAAATTCAGGAAAGAGATGAATAATAGGCGTTAAATAGTAACCATATGCCTTTTTATAAAGTCCTTTGACACAAAGATAAAGATTTTGCAAAGTTTTGAAAAGCTTTTCAAACATTTTAAGTCATGATTTTGTTTTTTGTTGCTAAAAAAACAAAAAACTTTAAAATTGTCATTTCCTGTTGAGAGATAACAACAATATGTGACGTCAGACACCAACTCTTTGCAATATGCTACTTCAGCTTTCTGTTCTACATTAAATAACATGTTAGAAAATATCTAAATGTGTCCATTCTAGGATCCATTTAATTTTATGCAATAAGAAGCCTAAATGATTTTTGATCCGAGAAAAAGAGTTTGTTAATGTAGCTTCTTTACAGCTGAAATGTAGAACTCACAAATATGTTCTTGAATTTTTTTATCTAAATTTATTGTCGATTGTTAATGCTTTCAATTATAATCTACGCAATAATATCAGACTTGAAACTTGAATTCAATTAAAACTTCAAGTTTCAACTCTCGAGATGCTTTCGCTGCATCGTTGCATGCTACGATTATATGCGAGTCGTGCTCCATAAAATATCTTTGATGGCACCCATACTTGTTGCGATAGTTTGTCCGTGTGGTAGTGTGTCAGTCGTTCTTCTTGAAAGTTCTTCCTTAACAACTGCATGCGTGTGTAAGATTTTAGAAATCATGATTTTTGTAAGTATTTCAGTTTGAAAGTTGAAAATTAAAACTTCAATCGAATTCAAATTTCAAGTTTCATATATATGCAAATCATATCAATTAATTGATATTCTTTACATACAAGTTGGCTTGAACATAAAATGTACCTGTCTATCACAACAGCAAGAAGCATTGTCTCTTTGTTAATTTTACAAATATTCATCGGTTGCACTATTGGTAGGAATTACGTTTTTATCTATAAATATTTACATTGAATCAAAATTTTTATAAGTTTAAATAAGATTTTTATCTTTTTGGCCGAGAGCAAAGCAAATAGTATTCATCACGTTGCTCATTTCATTATAGTACTTTGTGAACTAATCATTCCACTCAATTATATAAGAAAATTAGCTTCGTCATAGTTTCTAGCTTCCATATATAACTTCGCATTTACATGTCTTTTTCGATTTCATTCCTATTTGTCCCCGAGGATGCTCTTATTATGCGTAATATGGCAATATTCTGTTCCAGATATATCCTTGTACAGAAAATCTTTTTCTACAAAATGACCCCTTGAACAGACTTGTGAATTTCATAAGTTCTTCTTCTCAGCATTATAAAGTATCATTTGTAGTGTCGATACATCCATAATCAGAGATCGTCTTAGACTTGCTTTTTGACTTTGTTGGGCTCTATGGTATCATATTATCGAGTCCTAACTCTACGGATCCGATCTGAGTTCAAAGATCAAGACTTTGGTTTTATACATTTACTTTTGAAATGCGAGCGAACTTCTTCCCTCTTTCATCGTATCAGATCCAAATTTAGGTATAATTTTTCTATGATTATAGATCTTTATTTGTATGTTTCTCGTCTCAACAAATGAAACTATAGGATCATGATCGAAGAATTATGAGTGAAGTGTGTTCAGACAACCAAGTTTCAACACTGCACCAAAAACGTTAAGAAATGTCTCTCTGTGAATACAGAATTGAGAAACTTTCTGCTATAGCATATTTTTTATGCTATTGTAGTAATTATCATTACTATAGCCAGTGGACTAGCACGGTGAAAAAGCGATGTCGTGAAGTATCGAGTGCAATGGGACAAGTTCTGAGTTTTTACGATATGGTAATGAGAAATGAGAATAGAACTAGGGGTACCTATTTAATTATATTTAATTTAAGAATAGACTAGATTTATAGTAGCTTTTATCAAATCCGAAATATATATATATAGAGCTTGTCCGTAGGTAACGCACTCACGTTTTGTCAACTTTCGAACGGATTTTTTTAGCAACAACAAAGCGTAGAGCCTTGAAACCTTGAGAATATATGTATGCTATGATGCACTATAACATGTATAAGTTTCGTGCTAGTTGGCTTTAGACTGTTATTTTTATATTAAAAGTACATGCAGGTAACGCACTCACAAAAAAGNCACCAACAGCCACACACCCGCATATATACCCACACTTAAACAATCATTCCACTCTTCATACCCACACACCCACACCCACACCCATACCAACACCCACACGCACACCCACACACCCACACCCACCCTTTTCTCCTCTGTTGAACTCTGTCGTCAGCAAGACCAAAACTTGTCATAGTCGACTGTGGTAGCATGTTATAAGTTCGCAGTTCCCATAAAGAGGTCTCTGCTGAAATAGTAGATCTAGTTATTGAATGCTGAAGGATACGTACATCCTTTGTTTTTTTTGAACGTTCATAACTGTATGAGCAATATATCCTACCACTTCGAAATTCCAAGGTAAGTGCAGAATAACAGAAAGCTATATGAGCCTTAAGCAAGCGCAAAATACGTCATTGATGCTGTTAATCATATACTATATACTCAGCCTCGAAAGGAGAATCCTATCAAGTTTTCGAAGAAAATGTAAAAAAAAACATTTTCATTTTACCAAAGGTAAGAAGTTTCGTTTGCGAGAAGTAAATCTTTCAGGATGTCTAAATGTTACGTTAGTTTCAGTGCAGAGCTCAAACGGTATCGACAGAATCCTAAAATACGGCAAAAGTTAATATTAGTTTAGTAAAAAGAGTAATAAAATGGATATTAAATGGAAAGTAAAATGTCTGTTGTGCATATTAATTGTCGACGGTTGGAGTTTGCTTTAACCAGAAGGAAAGTGGCTCCGTTTGATGATTGATAGGCCGTGTTTTCTCACCAAAAATTCGTTGTAGCATTGCTTGAAATTGGGCAACGTATCGATCCTGATAAAAAAAATACACTATTTAGGTGGAGTTATTTATATCGATCTGGAAGGATTATTCTTATTTTCAGCTCCAAAGTTATAGCTTCGTTCGTTTTAAAATGGACATACCAATTTTTCTAACTTCGTACCCTGTCAAGGAAAAGATGAAATTGCGCATTATAGAAGCCAGTCCCATATGGAGAAAATCAACTATGGGAGTATAATGGAGCAATTCCATCTTTACTCATTCTAGAGGAGATATTTTAACATACTGCTTCAAAAATTCATATTGTCGACATTCGACTAAAAGTCGCAAAATTTTCTTATAAAAATGAACTGGAAAATATATTTATGACGTTCTTTTCACATGAAAATTTCAAGGTGCACTGCCCTTAAAATAACGTTGACAATTAAAAAACAGTTGACTGGAAACTTTTGTCGGTTTTCAGAGAGCTTCTCTAGCTGACACCTTATAAATTTTTTTCAATCATTTGTGAATCCTATTTTTTCTAGCCAAAGTCCCGGGCTTAAGTGAAGACCAAGGGTAAACATAATTCATCATTTGATTATACGTACTGCTGTCGGTCGCTCATAAAAAACAGTAGAGAATTCGAATACATAAGAGAACTCGGCAGATTCTTGATCGTAGGTGACGACAGATGAAAATGGATGCAATGCCGCCACACTCCACCATGCTGGTATTGACATATTATCTGAAGGATCAAGACAATGCAGTCGAACATTCTTATCGAGAGTAATATCTCGAAGCTTTTCGTCAAATTGAAAACTGGATATCGGCTGAATGCCGCCCATACATTCTGCAAGTTCAAACGTAAGAGGATCCTGTTCGGCAAATAAATGATCGAATGATTCCGTCATGACTGCATGTGTTTGTCTAATAAGAGTTATAAATGTTGGATTTGTTTTCTTGTCGAGAGTGACACGGATTACGTTATAATCGGCAAAAGGACCAAGAATATTGGCAGCTTCTGGTTCAAGAGGTCGGCCGGCCATAGTACATACTACTCCGAGATCGTATTCGCCGGTCAATTCGATCAGGAAAGCAAAGTGACAAGCTAGACAGAGATTGGCAACGGTAACATTGTTTTCTCGAGCACATTCAATGATTGTTGATGCAAGTTTATTGTTTAAATGAAAAAGAACAGAAATTGCCGATGAGAATACTAAGCCAGCTGATGACCATGGTCGATCACTAGGCATAAGAGAGGCCATGCGTGATAAAGACATTTCTATTCCGTGGAGATATTGTGTCCAATAAGCAATACTTTTTGACCTGTTTATTTGTCTTTGGTGGAGAGTATAATCTAAATAGTTGATAGCATTTGGATCGATGTCTAGTTCACCTCTCCCATAGGCTTCCACGAAATCGGAGAGAAATATTACAGACGAAGTTCCATCGATCGCCTCATGCCGAATATTGAAGATAATGATATCGCTCTTTTCTAACAAGTCTTCATTTATTAATGGCGCTTTTGTTCTGCGTACAATATGTAGACGGACAAGTTGACCATGTTCAATATTGAAGAGACCTCGAGCAGCAAACTCTCTCAAAACCAATTGACCAACATCATTGTCACTGACGGCTCCATCTGTGAAAGCAAATGTAAATCCTTTCTCGTCTGTTGTCAACGATTCGATCCGTTGAAAACATGTGTTTGCTTGAGCATTGAAGTGAAACGAAGTGTGCAAAATATCATGTTTAACAATGACTTGATGTAAAGCATTACGAACACGTTTGATCGATACGCTGCAATTCAAAATTATATTCAATAAACTCTACAGAAATGAATTAATATTGGTGACAATTCATATTCGCAATTCGGTCATGATAATTACAAAGCATGTTATTATTTTGTTTCAAAAATGTGTGAAAATGTTTCATTAATTAGATTTTATCTTTGTACAATGACCCACAAATTTGTAATAACATCAAAGAATTGCACTCTTTATCAAACCGAAATTGAAGTCAGATTCGCAAATATGATATCCAGTATATCCTAGATACTTTGTAACAGCAAGACAATTATAAAGTTTTTCAAAGCTTCAGCGTTTTATTTTCCATAGTTCAAAAACTTTTATCCTCTATTTAAATCGGTCGGGAATAGTGGAGTTCGCTACAGGTGTCGTGGGAAGACGGATGTCATACAAAGATAGTTTTTTACAATATCGTTTGATTGACAAGAGTTACAAGTGCCTGACCATTAGCTCAGATACAATTATGAGTGCATGTGTTTTGGTTTCAGCCCAAGTATCCAAGTACTTGTATTTGTTGTATTTGTACTAACTCTAAGCAGAAGTTTTTATTTTGTCATCATATTCTTGCACTTCTCGACACACGTTGGTCTTAAGATCTCACTGCTCAGCCTTAAACAATCTGTCGCTCTCCATATTGTCTACTCAAGACTCTATTAAGACGAAACACGTATCTGCCAATATTTTGAATATCCAGCAAACTCAGGGGCATAATCTTGTATATGACATCATGAAAGTTCTTAACTTCATTTATCCCATGAGCTCTGTGTCGTTCTCACCTATCGCTATTCAATTGGGTTTCTCAATCATGATGCGAGTATTCTTCAACAATTAAAAGTTCCAGAAGGTTCAAGCCAAACCAGTAGCGAGAAAGAAGAAAAAGGCTAGAGAATGACGATGGTATATCGTCAAAAATAGAAAATGAAAAGAAGGACAGCACTGACGAAAAACAAGTGCAAGCAGAAGATAACACGGGCTATTACGATGCTGTTAAAGAGCAATGAAAACTTCTCTACAATATCGATAATATTACTATGCAAGAGATGGGGGTATCCGAGTCGTACACTCGAAAATATCAGTCTTAATTTTCTAATCAACATGATGAGACACAATGTACATTAGCCCTGGACAGAAGGTCAGCCTGACTCAAAGTTCTTCCACTTAATCACTTAAGCTTCTCGTACATACTGAGTGACCACATACTAGCCACATGGGCTTTAGGTGTATGCCAACCACGTAGTCAGTATGCTATTGTGCGAGTGATCGGAGACAAACAGACGGTAGCGACTTGTCCAAGGGTATTCTATGTCAGATGGCGTCGAAATTCGAACACAGTATCTTGGGGATATGTGTCGAACAAATTAACTACTCAGCCATAGCGGCATAAACCAAAGAGTATCCTGCTACAATCTCAAAATCATAAGTCTAAAAGCAAACAGCTTCTACTTTAAATTCAGGCAATTCAATTATATGTTTCAGTAGCCAAAGTTGTTTACTCTACTACTGAATGAGTCTATTGCGGAAGACCTAGGCCTGAGAAGAAGTGTAAAGTGGTACCACCCCAATCGGTTCTTCATTTTGATAATGAAATGAATTTGCCTGTGAAAAGAATATAAAGATGAGCTTACTGTGGTGCAAAAGTAGTACACATCAGACCCAATATCGAATGTTTTACTTGCAAAGAAGTGTTTTGTTTCAAAGATCCAAAAAATTATTTTTGCTTTGATTATCATTAAAGTCTTACGTAATTATTTTGAGCCAAATGAAATGAAGTAATTTTTTAAAATTATTTTTCGATTGAAAAAAATCTGCTCCTAAATGGTTAAATAAAGTATATCATTTTGTGCAGAATTTCAAGCGCTATTTTTTGCTAAGAAACTGTTTTAATCAAAAGGATAATAGAAGAGAAATTTTGAAACTACAAACTACTTTCTTGTATTTTACGATAAAGGCAGTTTCAATCAAGTGTTATGATTCGACAACTATAGAATCACTTGAAACTAGGCGGAAAATGGACTCGATTTAGGTTAATTCGCTCATTTCCTTCGAGAAAGGACATATTCAAGTACAGAAATTTGGATACAATATATCATTCATTTCGCTTTAAAATAACATGAAAATAAGTTCAAAAGATAAAATTGTGATCAACATATGCAGTTTTCTTTGATTACCTCAAATTTGCTAATAAAGATGTGATTTTTGCAAAATTTTTAAAAGGAAAAAAAATATCAAGTGCTATACATTGGGATGCAAAGGAGTTGTGACTGCAGCCAAGAGATAGAGCTCTTCAAGCGCTAAAAAGGGCGATGATCAGACCTACGATTATATTAGCCTTTATGGTGACATGAAATTCCAAAGTTTCCGATAAAAAACCTATAAGCAATGAATTCACAAGAATTCTCTCATACAAGAGCGTCTGATGAGCTCAGTAGCAAAGCGATCTTTAAACGGTTAGCATTCGATAATCACCCATATATACATCAAGAATTGTTAGTTTGTTGCGGAAGAAACACTTGCCTTCCATGATCGATCATTAGCGGCAATACAACATTGCTTTGTGTCCATTGAAAGGATGGTGCCGTATCGATCATTAGTCGATCCGTCCACGTGGTCCATGCTTGTGCCGGATGCAAAACACCTGTTCATATAACACATAAATAAGTCGATGGAAAAATATTAACATCTGATTTCTGATTCCAAAAGATTTCTAAAAAAAGTTCTAGACCGTGAACCATTTACAAGAGTAATTGTAAACAGATTGCATCATGTTTGGATACTCTGAAATTTGGTGATGTTCAGAAACTCTATTCCGACATAATCTCGAAAAATTTACGATCCAGACATTCATCTTGAGAGTGATAGTGACTGGATCATATTTCTCTATTAAAATACACATCCTAAAAGGTAGAACGAGACTTTCAACTCTAAGTCCATTTCTATTCGCGACAGTGTACTTCCATCAGTTGGCATAACAAAACGAGTACGCGACATTTTCTTAGCTAGCATATGACCACCCTTTCGGAAGCTCAGAAACTTCGTGATGGTTTTGGTTTCAGAATGATTTGAGATTCGGCAATAAATTCAATCCTCTTTTCCCTCTTGCTAATAGTTAATTCCTTGAAAAATTTAGAAAATCGATGGATTGCAAATTGTAATGGTGATAAAATTAACCAAATGGTAAATTCATATCTTCCAACTGCGATGATTATGGTGATTTTCAAAATTTTGCGGTGAACTTGTGAATAAGTCTGTTGATAGTAGCTGATATTCACTATGAGAATGTGAGGTATTAAATATCATGTGCCAGAGCGACATAGAAAAAATTCTACCACTTCGACAATTGTCACAAAATAACTGTGATTATTTTTGTCGAAAAAATCTTGGAAAGAGCTCGGTCTACAATCGCCTGATCAGGATAGAATGTTCCGAAAGTATCACGTTTAATCATATAAGGAGAAGAAGAAGATGCTAAATTTCCAAAAAATCGGTCAAGTGATGTTCAAGATGTCTTCATGACTCTTAAAAAAGTGTCATACAGAACCATTAAGGGTTTTAGCGAAAGTCCTGAACTTTTTAAGGTTCTAAATTTGGGTACCATTTTCAGAATATAAGTGGCTATCGTAGTCATCTGTGTTTCGAGATCAAAGGGCCACAGAAGTTTCGATTGTGAGTCAAAAAAGGAGCTGGGTATTCCAATTTTTTTTTTTAAACACATCATAAAAGTCAAGTTCATGCTAACCTTCAGTTGCGTGCAAAGCGCATAAAGTCTGTTTCTTTGCAAGCATTTTAGCATTGTCCAAGGTCTGCTCTAGTAGCCGAGCATGGTCACGGATGGTGGCATGTTTGAAGAAAATCGTAATGCTTGAGAAATGATCCGAACACCCAAAATGACGTTGATAAGCGGCCAGCAAATGCATGAATTGAATGGAGCTTCCGCCGAATGAGAAGAACTTTGTCGTCATGCTTATCATCGGGTTAGGAATTGACAAGACTTCACACCAGATGCTATGAATTTGCTTCTCCAACTTATTCGCTGGTTCATCGTTCTTGCTCGAAATTCTGTGTGTTTCATCAGACTGTCTACATGTTTTTAACAACAAATAGCATGAAAAATATCAAGAACTTAAAATGTTTTGAGTACATGCACTGAGATCGGGAACAAGGGGTAAAGTGAGAACAAGACAAGAATTGGAGTAAATCTCTTTACTCTCCGCCTCATATCCTCACACTTGTCTCAGCATTAAATTTTCTCAATTCTACTTCGCTTCTACCGCATTTTTCTGCCGTCTGCCTTGGGCTTGTTCTCAAAAGTCATTGACTCAGGATAATGCACAGAAGCTAGTTTCTCGTGGATTAGTTCAATTCTCTGATTGTTGACTTAATTCGCTAGTTGGGCTCAATTTTACTTTTGTGAAAATTTGGACAATCCTCAATTTCAATTTTAGTTTTCCATAGGTACTGATTCAGATTCAATT